CAGGGCCAGCTCAACTGGCTGGAACCATGTGGCTGCATTCCTGAAGCTGGCTTTCTGTGAAGCTCATTCATAAACTGCTCATGGCACCTGGTGCGTTTTCTCAGAACATGTTTTCAGAAATGAGTGAAGAACTCTTGGTTCTGGACTGATTTCTGTCCCTCCACTAAAGGACTCCTGGATTAGCATTGCTAATCACAATGTGGCAGTTCAAACCCACCAGCTGCTCCTCAGAAAACCTAAACAGGGTCGCTATGAGTTGGAACCAACTCGACAACACTTAACAACCACCACAGATATGACTGAATTCTCACCTCTGGCACTTAACAACAACAAATTTACCTCGAGGACAAAATTATGTTGGAAAGTAAAGGAAAACACTAGGGTCTTCCTGTTAGATTTCCATGCCTGTTTTTATATTTTGATATCAAAAGGCAGAGCTCTGAGGGAAAGGATGGGTCTGAACAGACGAATGAGGACCAGAGCACCTGGTGGCATTTTAAGGTAAAGGTGGGTCCCTGCTTTCACAGGGGGTTTTAACATCATCTTACAGATAATTTCCTTGCTTTTTAGGCATTATTTCAGGCCTGCAATCTATGGTTAATTTTTTCAGCTAACTTTCTTTCTGCCATCATCTTAGATAGAGGTGAAACATATGTTGTTCGCTGCCCTCAGATTTAAGGGAACACAGTGAAGTCCTGGTGTGGCACTGTAGGATAAGCACTGGGCCTCAAGTCTGTTTGAACCACAAGGTCAGAGGTTCAAACTCACCAGCTGCTCCTTGGAAATCCTATGCAGGGTTGCTATGAGTCTGAACCCACTCAATGGCACTTACCAACAACAGGCGCTCTGTGGGAGAAAGATGAGGCATTCTGTTCCCACAAGGATTTGTTGTTGTTGTTAGGTGCCATCAAGTCGGTACTGATCCATAGCAACCTTACACACAGCAGAATGAAACACTGCCCGATCCTGGGCCAACCTCACTATTGTTGCCACTGTTGAGCCCACTGATGCTGCCATTTTGCCAACCCATCTCACTGGGGGTTTTCCTATTTTTCTCTGACCTTACCATACATGATATCCACAAGGATTTACGGTCTTGGAAAACCTAGAAAGGGATTGCTATGAGTCAGAACTGACTGTAGGGCAATTAATTATTGTTATTAAATGCCACCGAGTCAGTTCTGACTCATAGCGACCCTGTATAGGGTTTCCTAGGAGCAGCTGGTACATTTGAACTGCCGACCTTGTGGTTCAAAGCGGTCCAGTACTTTTTCTCACAGCGCCACACCAGGACTACTAATAACAGTCCTCAAATTGGTTCCAGTATCACAGTGATACTGGATAGATGGTGGTGATTCCTAAGATTTTCATGGATTGGTGTTTGGAAGTAGACTGCCCAGCCTTTCTTTCTAGTGCACCTTAGTTTGGGACCTGCTGACACCTGTTCAGCATCTTTGCCTCCGCTGGTAGATGGGTGAGCATGAGGGGACTGGCTGAACAGAAGGTGTGTTTCCATTACATAGTCTCTGAGTCACATGAATCATTTTCCACACATACCAAACAATCAGGACCCTAACTGCTATCCACAAAGCACACCTGCCCTGTAGGGAGTGCAACATTCAGGTACAAGGTGGGCTGGTCTCTCATCAGTTAAAGATAAACAAATCACCACAAACTTGGTGGCTGAAAATAACATCAATTTATTTTCTCACAGTGCTGGAGGCCAGAAATCCAAAAATCAGTATCATTGGGCTGAAATCGAAGTGCTGGCCGGGCTGCATTCCTTCTGGGGGCACCGGACGACTGTTCCTTGCCTCCTCCAGCTTCTGGGTGGCTGCCAGTATTCCTTGAGTTGTAGGTGCATCGCTCCCATCTCTGCTTGTGGCCACTTTGTGCCTTCTGCTGTGAGAAATCTGTTCATCTTATAAGGATGCTTAGGATCATTCAGATTACTCTCATCTCAATTTAATCACATCAGTGAAAATGTTACCTTATAAAGGCCCTCACTGGATTGTTGTTAAGTGCCATCAAGTCAGTTCTGACTCTTTATAAGAGAAGCAACTGGTGGGTTTGAACTGTTGACCTTGAGATTCAAACCAACGTTGCAGTCCAGAGCATTAAACCACAGTGTTACACCATTCAATCCCCTTTCAAGCCCCAACAAACCTCTTTTTTTCTCAAGAAGAGTCTAGGCTGAGTGATGGTGGTGGTGGTGGTTATGTGCCATGGGGTTGGTTCTGACTCACTGCGACCCTGCATAGGGTTTCTGAGCCTATAAATCTTAACAGCAGTCTACTTCCAAAAAAATCTCATCTTTCTCCTGTGGAACCACTGGTCGTTTCGAACAGCTGACCTTGAGGTTAGCAACCCGACTCGTAACCACTATGCTGCCAGAGCTCCTTCTAAGCTGAGTAGACAAAAGATGTGTATGTAGCAGGGGCCAGATTGAGAAATGGTGTTTTGTAAACTTGTTTCTCTGCCATGCTGGAACCTCACAATTCTCTCATTTTCCCTCCCATTTATCTTCTCAGGAAGCAGCTGGTAACAGGTGAGCAAGCTTGGGACAGAGAATGATATGGGGAAAACTCAGGGTGGCTCTGAAGTGGCCTGGGAAACAAACCAGGTCTCCCAATCTCTGTCCTGTGAGGATGCTCTTTGCCACGCTTTTAAACTAGTTAATTTTCTAAAAGAAAGTGAAAGATTGGAACTTTAGGAGCAGATGCCAATTCTGAGATCAGGCGGTTTTCACTACCTGACTGCCTTCCCTAACATCCCCGGGGACCTGGTTAGGAAACATCCAAACGAGCAAAATCCAAATCCTTTACCAGTGATTCTGACTCATGATAACCCCATGATTACAGAGTTGAACTACTCCATAGGGTTTTCTTAGTGGTCTTCTTTATGGAAGCAGCTCTTCAGGTTGTGGAGCAACTAGGTCGGTTTGAACTGCCAACCTTTAGGTGAGCAGCTGATTGCCAAACCATTTGTACCACCCAGGGCTAAGAATGTACTCTTCCAGCAAAGCTCCTATGCACACAGACCCCTCAGCAGGTCCTCTCTGTGCTAATACCACAAAGTGCCCGCTGGACTTGTGCTCCGGGCTCAGGACTGGGGCTCAAGATATCCCTGCTGTCCCAGCCTCGGTTCTCTCCGATTTCCTGAGCACTTCTCAATGGTTAAGCTGCTTTTGTGGGTCTCAAAGACAGTCACTTTCCCCTCTCCATGGGGTCTCACACCCCAACACCCCAAATACAGCCCAGCTGGTCTGGAGGTCAGAAGGCTGGCTGTGCTGAGCTCCCTGCTGGGGATGTAGGAAGAGGGTGTATTTAGAACCCAGTTAGAGAAATGCTATCTAAAGACAACTTTCTCTTGGGTGCACGGGTCAATGAAGAGAGTGCAAATCCCCATTCAAGTCTAGAACAGCTCTTCAAACAAAGCTGCAAAGGTGTAGCTGAGTGGTCCAGGTTCTAACCCCAGCTCTGCCATTTACTAGCAATAGGATGAGGCTGCTTTAATTAAACTAAGTGTCAGCAGGCTAACCTACAAAATGGCAATAAGAACAGGTGTGTAGCGAAGTTTAAATAAGATAACACAAGCGACAGACTTAGCATAGTGCTTGGCACATATGAAGTGTTGAGCACATATTCATTCATTAAGGACTCTGGGGAGTGCGCAGAGATCTGGTGGTACAATGGGTAAGTACTTGGTTGCTAACCAAAAGGTCAGTGGCTTGATCCCACCAACTGCTCTAAGGGAGAAAAATGTGGCAGTCTGCATCCATAAAGATTACAGCCTTGGAAAGCTTATCAGGGCACTTCTACTCTGTCCCATGGAGTCCTGGTGTGGTGCTGTGGGCTAATGCCCCGGACAGCAAAGTCGTTTGAACTGTAAGGTTGGTGGTTTAAGCTCACCAGCTGCTCCTTGGAGACCCTGTACAGGGACACTATGGGCCGAATCGTCTTGAAGGCACTTCACAACAACCATGTCCTACAGGGTCACTATGAGCTGGAATCAGCTTGATGGCAATGGGAACAGGGGTAGCACAAAGGGTTTACGTTTGGTTCATAACCAACAGGTTGGTGGTTTGAATCCACCCAGTGGCACCTTGGATAATGTAAAATTGCAGCCATTTGAAAATCCTATAGGGTGCAGTTGTACTCTGAGACACATGGGGTTTGCCACGAGTCGGAGCTGACTCCACGGCAATGGGTTTGGTTTTTATCTGACTTTACACATTCGTTATTTTTATTGTTGATGTTCCTCCCTAAGCAACTTAGTCTTAGAAGAGCTGCTAAAGCAGTTCGACACCCAAAAGTACTACATATAAAATATTTTATTATAAAAAGCTCAGTTGCATGGCATTTTCATAGTTTTCATTCTTTGCCACTGATACACACAGGAGAGATTCGTAAAGTGTAGCTGTTAGGACGACTGTCTTGCTCACTGTGTGCCTAAGTCCACCAGGCCCTCAAAGAACCCATAGTGCCACGGGTTCTGAGAGCGTCTTCACCTGGGCCTCTTGTCCTTTCTACAAAGCGGAGTCAGGTTTCCTCCCCACAGCGGAAGATGCCAGTGAAGAAAGCAATGGCGGGACTTGTTTTCCTTCTGGAAACAAAACAGCCCTTGTAGAAACACCACCACAATCTAACCCAGTGTCTCGGAGTCCTTTCTTGCTAGGTAAGAGGAATTGTCTCATCAACAGTTCTGAGTTAAGGCAAGATGAGGAAGAAGACACACGTGATAAGCCCTTTGATGTGGTCTCAAAAACACGAGACCCAGAGGCACCCACCTCTCCTCCCAGTTCGCCTGCTACAGAAGGTTCCATGGAACCTCAGAATCACTCCCACACACAGAACCTGCCCTCCACCCCTACACACCCCATCCAAAGAGTTAAAATTACACCTGGCCCACTGCTCCTTGACATGGCTGCTGTAGCTTTGTATGGGGTGTGGTGCTGAGGGCGTGAGTGGACCGGAGGGCACACGGCTGAGGGAGGCCACTCAGTCAGGGGGTCGGGTCTCAGGGGCTTTCTCGTGGACCTCATCGTACTGGGGAGGGGGAGTCAAGGGCTCGATGGAGGGAGGAGGTATGTTCTTGTCTGGGAGGTTGATCCTAAAGTCTTTGAGGTGAAGCTTCTCAGATTTAATCCTCCGAACTTTCAGAGGCTTCAGGCGTTTGGACAGCTTGGAGTTCTGTCTGTCAGGTGGACTCCCTGGTCCGGTTTCCACGTCGGCCCGGGTGGTTGTGGGCATCGTCTCGTCGAGCCCTGTCAAGGACTCGTAGGAAGGGAGGGAGATGCTCATCCTGGGGTTCTGGTCCAATTCCCTCTCTTCGGAGTAGTTTGTGTTCATCACTTCCTCATAGCTGGGGACGTAGTACCGCGAGGAGGCCTCTTCCTCCTCCTCCTGGCTGCAAGACAAGCAACAGTGACACACAGTGTTAGCACCCCCTTTGGTCACTTCAGATCACTAGTAAAAGGACAGCAGAGCCCAGGTCAGCACTGGGTCTAGCTGACCTCAGATTCCAGACAGGAAAACCACCATCGGGCTGGGCACTGTTCCTTGAACTCTGACACCTAGGCTTCCTGGCACTAGGTGGAAGGCAGTGGTATTCCGGTGGTAGAATTCTTGGCCAAGGCGCCTCATACGCACCTACCATCCACCCACCCATCTGTGAATGGAAGCATGTGTGTTGTTATGATGCTGAACAACTTTTAGTGGAGCGTCCAGATGAAGATGGACTAAGAATAAAGACCAGGAAATCTACTTCCAAAATCAGTCTATGAAAATGCTATGATTCACATTGGTACAATTCTGCTGGGCACAGGGTTACTAGGAGTTAGGGGCCGACTAGATGGCAGCGTTCACAATAGCGCCACGATGACATTAACTATGATCATCTCCATTTCATGGATGAAGAAACGGAAACACTGACGTTGAACAACTTAGTCACAGCTCTGGGTAGAGGACAGGAAACGAACACCTCACTCTTAAGCACTGAATGCCAGTTGTCGGTCTGACTTACAGTAGGGTTTCTGAGGAATGGCTGGTGGTCTTGAACCACTGACCTTGAGGTTAGCAGTCCAGTGCTTATCCTACAGCACCACACCAGCGCATTCTAATTATCTGGAGGATAAACCCCTCTCGCCCTAAGCCTCAACTTGCTATTAAACTGGATGAGTTAGTGAGTCCAGTGCTCAGAAGATCCTGTGCCCAAAGGCAGCAGAGAAATCTAACTGCCGAACTGAAGCAGAATGGCCATCCCCAGAAGAGGATGAGAACATTTACAGTTAGCTCCAGTTATTCGGTTGTTGTATTTTCTGAGTTCCCCATGAAACTCAAAGGGCAGGGCAGGGCCTCAGCTTCTCCTCACCCCATTGCAGAAAGAGAAAACTGAGTAGGTAGCCTGTGTGTTACATACTATGTGGTTAGTGCCCTTAAGTGGGCCCCTGTCACGGGGCAACTCCAGCAGCATCACCACGTTCCCGAGCCTTCACTGACATAGGTGGTAGCTGCACATGAGGTGTGTCGGCCGGGAATCGAACCTAGGTCTCCTAGCTGAAAGGGGAGAATTCTACCACCGGACCACCAATGTCGCCCCACATGAAACAGAATACAGTCAGTAGACATCTTCTAAGACCCCACACTTGTACGTGAGGCATGGTGATGGCCAACATCAGAAACCTCATGTGGTTTTGTGCACGTGTTAAGGCCCTTGGGTGGCACACAGCAGTTAAGTGCTTAGCTGCTCAATCCCATTTGTCTCTCTTCATATGAACTGTGTTTGTCTAGCTGTCCCCTCACCTTCCTTAGGAACTCGTGGGTGCTTAGACCTAGGTTAGATAATTCATCTTTCCTCCTGTGTTCATTTCTAAATAAGGACGTATTATCTTCCGTTATCAGATATTTAGTTTTTCCACAATGAAACAACTCCATATCCATTATAAAGCTAAGACTCGATTGCTGTAGAAACTTCAAACAACACAGGGAAATCAAATGAAGACAGTATAAATGTAACTGTGATGACTAGTTTTATGTGTCAACTTGGCTAGACAGTGGTGTCCAGTTATTTGGTCAAACTCTAGTCCAGGCTGTCATAAAGGAGTTTTGTTGTCATAAAGGAGTTAACAGCTGTTGAGTTGGTTCAGACTCACAGTCATCCTGTATAGGGTTTCCAAGGAGCAGCTGGTGGGTCTGAGCTACCAACCTGTGGTCAGCAGTCCGCTGCTGATCCTAACAGCGCCATACTAGGACACCATGAAGGAGCTGACAAGTGATGAAATTAGCTGACTTTAAGAAAAATACATCCCTCTCCATAAGTGGGTATATCTTATCCAATCGATTGCATGCTGTAAGACCAAACAGGGAGTTTCCCCAAGGGAGAATTCTGCCTACAAACTATAAATAGACCTTTTGACAGAACTCTTCTATTCTTCCTTTTGTCTGACCTATAGATTTGGGGTCAAGACTAATGGAATCTCCAGCTTGCTGCCTAACCTACAGTTTTTAGATTTGCTAGCCCCCACAACCATGTGAGCCAACTCCTTAAGATAAATATATCTTTCCAGATAAAACCAACCAGTTGCTGTTGGGTCAATGTGTGTAGAACTGTACTATGTAAGGTTTCAATCTCTGATTTTCCAAAACCAGGTCTCCCTTCTTACAAGGCACTTCTGGGTGGACTTGAACCTTGAACTTCAAACCTTTTGGTTGGCAGTTCATACCACCCAGACACTCATCTCTATATCTACCTACCTACGAGGGGGCTGCAAAAAATTCATAGACAAGTTCCACTATTGTTCAATTCCATTTTCCACAAACTTTATGAAGCCCTCTTATATCCATCTTACCGTTTCTCTAGAAAACTCTGACAGCCTCAAATCCCACCAGCTGAAGATAACCACTGGTGAGGTTCTAGGATATGTATCTTTCCAAATCTGACTGCATTCACAACTTTTTATGTGATTGGGACCTTACCAAGGATGCTGTTTTATAACCTCCTTAACTCAATGTTGTGGATATGGTCCTACATGAACAAATACAAACAATGGCTGTACAGAAGTCTACTGAATGGATAGGTCATACATAATTTGACTTGACTAAAGGACTTTAGGTTATTTATAAGTTTTTGCTATTTTAACAATGTCCTAATAAATGTCCTGGTACAAACTCAATTGCAAACTTGTATAATTGTCTCCCAAGGACAAAGTCTTAAAAAACAGAATGGGTAGGTAATGTGGGTCTTTAATACTGTCGCTTATTGTGAATTAGGTCAGTTATTATTTTGACCAGTAAGTCACCTTCCCCACAACTCTCCAACATCTTGGCCAATATGATAGACCAAAAAAACATGACGAATGAATTTGAATATCTATGAAAAGCTGGTTCATCTCTGTGATAGTTAAGGTTTTGTGACAACTTGGCTGGACCTGGGTTCTCAGTGGAGTGACAGTTAAGAGGTAGCAATCCCTCATGAGGAGACCTGCTAGGATGCAATCACCCTCACAGTGTGATCTGAAGGGATCAGTCCTGCCCTGATGGAATTATCCCATGAGCTGTAAATCCTCACTTCTAGGATGCTAATAAGGTCAGGTACCATCTACAGGATTAGGCTGGACGTTGAGTCCATTTCTTATGAGAAATAACAGGTGAGAGAAGTGAGCAGAGAAAGCGGAACTGACTACCACTAAGGGAGAAGAGCTGGGAGTGGATTTCGTCCTATGGACTTGGGGGTCCCTGCACTGTGAAGCTCCTAGATCCACAGAAACATTGATGCTAAGACACATGGAACTGTCCAAGGACTGCTGGGTCTATACATGTTGAAAGGAGACCATGGCCTTTCTCCAGAGCTGGCCCTCTGAATTCCGACTCCTAACCTCCTACACTGTGAGAAAATCCATTTCCATTTCTGCTTGTTAAAGCCCCCCCCCCCATGATATTTCTGTGATAACAGCAGTATATAACTAGGACTCCGTGTCCATTTTCCTACTAGAGTGTCCCTTTTTCCTACCCTTATCTTTTTTCATATCTTCCCCAACTGGTCACTTATTTTTAAAACTTGCTGTGGTATTTTTGATCAAATAAGACAAGTCCTCCCAATTATTATCCTTGTTGTAAGTGTTGTCAGTTCTGACTCATAACTGAGAAAGATAAACCCTCTTTTCCTGTATAGAGTTTCCACGGAGCAGCCAGTGGGTTTGAACCATCAACCTTGCAGTCCACTGCAGTATCCTGCAGTGCCACACTAATAATGTTGCTGATAAATGTTGTCGAATTGGTTCGGACTCATAGCAACCATGTATAGGGTTTCCCAGGAGCAGCTGGTGAGTTTCAACTGCCAACTTTGCATTTCAAACCAACCTTGCAGCTCAGCTCATTAACCCACAATGCCAAATCAGGACCCCACACAAATTATAGTGAGCTGATTGTGGCCCTCCCTAAAGGATCACGTCCTAACCTCTGGTACTTGTGAACGTGACCTTATCTGGAAAAAAAGTCTCTGCGAATGTAATTCAGTGAAGGATCTGGAGAAGAGATCGTTCTGGATTTTCCGGATAGACCCTAAGTCCAATGACCAGTGTCCTTAGGGGACGGGCGTTGTCTTCGTTCTCTAACGCTGCTATAAAAGAAGTACCACACAGGGGTGGCTTTAACAAGCAGAAAGCATGTGCTCACAGCTGAGGAGAAGGCGCTCTCTGTCGACTCTGTGGGAAGGTCCCTAGCTCCTTGGTGATCCCCATGTGGCATGGAATCGACCTTCCCCATCTCTGATTGCTTCTCTGTGCCAGACCTGCTCTCTTTTACATCTCAAATGTAACTGGCTTAAAAGACTGCCTCTACTGATAGGACCTTTTACTATAATAAAGAAGTCCCATTCCCAAATGGGACTATAATCACATGTGCAGGGTTAGGATTTATAACACATATTTTGGGGGACACTCCAATCCAAAACAAAAAGATGACACACAACAGGGAAGGCCATGTGAAGATGAGGCAGAGACTACAGCCAAGATACCCTAGGAACCACCAGAAGCCAGATGTGGCAAGGAAGTGTTCTTCCTTGGAATCTGCAGAAGGAGTATATAGCCTGCTGACGCCATGACTTTGAACTTCTGGTCTCCAGAACCATGAGAGACTACATTTCTGTGTCTGAAGTCCTAGGAAACGAATCCACCAACCTTCTCAAATCCAAGCATACATACACAGCACACGAGGAGGAATAGGCAAGCACCCAGTCTGGGAGCCCTGGACAACCCCAGCCCCCATTCAGCTTTCCCAGGATGAGTATCAAAATCTTGGCATACCACATCCTTTGAGAAGCTCTGCTACCTTATAAATGTTTTACAGAGCTTTAATGGAAGAAACTCCTGGTGTGGCACCGTAAGCTCAACACTGGACTGCGAACCACAAGATCGGTGGTTCTAACCAACCAGCTGCTCCTAGGAAACCCTGTACAGGGTGTCGCTATGAGTCGGAATTGACTCGACGGCATGTAACAGCAATGGAATAAAATAAGAGGGCTGGTGGTGCAGTGGTTAAGTGCTTAACTGCTAACCTAAAAATAAGCAGTTTGAACCCACCACCTCTACGGGAGAAGATGAGGCAGTCAGTCTGCCTCTGTAAAGATTTACAACCTGAGAACCCTAGGGGGCAGTTCTCTGGCCTGCTGGGTCGCTGGTGAGCCCAGAGTCAACAGCAAATGAGTTTTGTTTGAATGGAAGAAACTGTGAATGCAAAGCCTCCTAGACAGAAATGTTCTTGTCACAGAAACGTGTGAGTGTGTGTGTGTGTGTGTGTGTGTCCCCACCTCCAGTCTGTGGGAGGGGGCAGCTGGGTCCTCACCTGTCTTCCTCTTGGGCATGAGGCATGGTCCCCGTCTGGTGCTGTATCCGTGCGATCTCCTCACTCTGCCTCTGCTTCCTCTTGTCCCGGATGCTCAGGCAGATGGAGAGCAACAGTAGCATCACCCCAGCCCCGACCAGCACGTAGGCCACAGAGAAGGTTTTGCTCTTGAGAATGCCACTGCCTACCTCGGTCTTGTTCCCCTGGACTGTTGGCTTGTCTGTGGCACTGAACCCGGGCACCAGGTTCCACATAGCCATGACAACTCCCAGGACCAGCATGCCCAGGCCGATGGCAGTCAGTGCGTAGTGTGAGCCATTGGCCTTGGACTGAGCCATCATGCCAGTGGAGCAGGGTAAGGGCCACTGAACAGAGAGGGGGTAAAAACCACCAACAAAAAACCAGAACTTCTGCAACAACAAAAACTCTTTAAATGCACTCAAAAAAATTTCTAGCGCCACTCTGAAAAAACAGCCATCAGACTCTGGAGGGATGGTTCCAGGCACGTGGGCCACATCCTGTGTGGACAGCTGCAGCTGGGAAGTCTGAAAGAAAAGCAGAAACAGGAGAACTTGAGTCAGCTCTGGTGCCGCATGCTCCTCTGAAGGGAGTTAAAAGGCAGAGCCGAGCTACTGGAGCTGGCTGGGGCGGGGCCCCCCTTTGATGCATTCCAGATGTCTCACGCAGCAAAAACGGAGGCTGGTCTGCCTACTCCCACCCGAAAAGGAAAAGGCAGCTCTTTCCCTGCAGGAGGCCAGAAAGGTCAGAGCTTGGGCCAGTCAAACATTTTGTGGAATTTAATGAAGTGGAGTGGAATCTCAGCTCTCCCTGGGTGCAGCAAGGAGACTGAACTCAAGGCATGATTGAACTGTGGTCTAGAGTCCTAATGGACTCACCTGAGCCTCAGACTTCAGTCAAGGATCCCCCAGCCCAGGTGCAAATAGTCGACTGCAGTCTGTGTACCACCCTCCATTGCTCCCCGTTTGCTTCAGGAGATCTAGGCAGTGTGCTACACACGTTGCCTTCACCTGGCCCTGGCCTCTCCCACTCCCTCTTTCTCTTTGCACCTGCCCCAATCTTTCTGCAGCTGTCTCATCATCTCAGTTTCCTTGTAAGCCCCCAAGTATATGTGGTGGCAGTTGCTTCTTCCCAAGACCGCATCCTCCTCAGCTCTGAGCCTGGCACATCTAGCTGGGATTCAGACAACATATGCCAAATCAGCATCAACGTTTGAATGAAATAAATAGAAGCCACCCAGCAAGACAAGACTCTCTTCACCCACGTGTTTTCCTTTCCTTAAAGGACAGAAGCAGCCTGTATGCCCCCCTCCTCTTAGTTCTGTATCTGGCTGGCTGAGAACCCCTCTTCCTGGGAAGCAGCTCCCAGACCCCATACAAAAGGCAGCAACCTGCAGTCCTGCGATTCCACGACCAGCTGGTGACTGAGAACGTGCGTCAGAGGAACAAGTCCTCTTAAGCATTCTGGTTAAGACACTCTCAGGGTCCAAGGAGGGTGAGCGGACCATACTCCTTGCTGACCAATCCTGAACCACTGACTCCTGAGGCAGACACCCCAGGAAAACTGTACGGATGTTTAGATGGGCATGGTCCTCTTTTCAACACTGCATTCTTTCCAATCTTTCCAAGGACAGCTAAGCAGGTTGCTTGAAACCTGATGCAATGGAAGTATTTTCTCAAACCATCACTTCATCCAGCCACTTTGTTAAAGGATATCGTGAAAACATTTGGGGCAGCTTGCAGCCTGTTCCTTCTATTTTTTACTCCACAGATAATGATGGGGCAGCTACATGTGCTAATAAGCAGAGCCCCAGGCACTGGAATGACATAGTGAGCAAGGTGAAGCTGGGTGTGTGTGTGTTGTGGGGAGATGACACACTTCCCAGCTAGAGCCATCTACAAAGTAGGAAGAGAGGACTGGCACTGGGGTGTTAGATAGCAGGTGTCCTAACCCATCTCGGGGGTGGGGGGTTAGGGGGGGCAGATAAAACCTTTGTGTGAGAAAAGCCTGTTGGTATAATAGGGCTCGTACTCTAATGTACTGCATCATGTGTATACATGTGTGTGCATGTGGGCATGCGTGTGTGTCCGAGTCATGTAGGACTCTGAGCAGGCATCCTGCTGCAGATGGTCAGTCAGCAACAGTCTGTTGTACACACAACAGGGATATTTGCTTCAGAGAACAGAATTCATGGCCAGCAAATAGAAAGAGTGGGCGATTTGGCAGTCCCAAAAATGCATTGGTCCTGCCAAGTGGATCTAAGACAAGGTCAGATGTTAAGAGGTCAGTAGTGAGATTCTGCAAGCAGGAGAGCTAAGAAACCCATCTGGTAAGCACCTGAGTGTCTGCCGGGAAGACCTGGTACTTGGGGTGTTGACAGTGCATTCGTTAGATCCAGTAACTGGGGCCACATGAACCAGCCTTAGGCACTCCCATGTAAATTCTCATGTCAAGCTTTGCCTTCGCTGTCATGTGGGGAGCACAGCCCACAGATGAGTCAGAGATCTTGATATGGGTGCTGGTGGTAGAAGTGCTGCTCCGTGGAGGCTTCCAGCCTGCAAACTGCTGGGTCTTTTCTCCCTTCAGTGTGTGGACCACACTAGAGATGAGGGCAAACCATTTGCTCCCAAGTGGGCAAGACTTAGTTCTTGGTGGAGGTGTGTGTGGTACAACTGTAGCTATTACAGTGGTCTGTGGCACCTCCAAATGACCAATTTACACATAAGTATATACACACTGTGGAAAGAGATGATGGAAAAGCTCCATGTCATCAGTGAAAACAAGGCCAGGGGCAGACTG